TCCAAATCTGAATGAGAAATTCAAATGCATGTGGATTATGTGAACGATTTCACAAATGTGAAGTTTGTGGTCGTCCGGATCCTTTTGCTCTGCACAGACAGCCTTCCTCTTTGAACTTTTCATGCCATCTCCAAATCTGTTGGTGACTTTCTAGAGAACTCTCTCATAAATGCACGCTGCACAGTCTTGTTTGACTGTGTTCTAGCAAACTCCAACACACAAAACGTCTTTCCTCTTCTAGTAAACGATATGCTACACTGCTTGGCATTCGCACTGGAAGCTCAAATAGAAACATTTCAGAGTGTTTGGGTGCCAATCTGAGGACAATGCATATGATTCGGAAAGAGTTGGAGGAATCTAATGGTGGTTACGAAGGTGCCTTTTGGTGATCATTTTGGCGACGTTATGCTTACATGCATCTTTCCACGCGGCCTCAGACTCAACACGAAGGCCTACAACTTTCGCCAACACAAACAAGGAAATTGCCCGGAAGTGTTGCAGAAGATTCCGTAGTCGTCTGAAGACCGTAGTTGAAACCAATGGTGATTTTATTGAATAAATGTACTCTTTAGTATTTCAAGATAGTTTCCTGTAATTTTGGTACATATATCTATTAAAATGAGATTTTTATTTTTACATAATTTCGATGACAAAATATCCAATGCACCCTGTATATAGGCAATGAGTTGGCAAAACTATTTTTACATACGGTGTATTTATGGGTTGATTTCTGCCAATCTGCAACTCTATGATCCGGCATTGACCAAGGATACCGGATTAAAGGGGTTGGACTGTATATAGCTAAGATTGAAACGATTGAAGGAGAGAGGTACGATAAGAACAGTGAATGAGAGAAAAAGCCGTAATCAATTATAAAGGCGAAGAAATACATGAATAATTAACGCAAACATTCCAGACCATTATCGCCGAAGATAGCAGAAACGATTGCAGCTAAAACAGTGAAACTTGATCTCACGAAGCAAATTCATTGGGGTGTGACAAAGATTTAATTTTAATATAAACACCAAATATCATTAAGCTGTGATGCAGACGGGATGTCAAATGTATAGCAGCCATGTCGGTTGAAAATTAAAATAAAGAAGGTGACAGGTTTCATTCGAAAGCTCTTTTAACAAACCAAGCTGCATGCTGTTACCTAAAAGCAACGGCATCCAATTAAAGATTTAATTAATAATATAATTAAATATGGCATTTTGATAATTGCTTCGGCATTTCTGGCATAATAGATAGGATTTTTTTTAATGGTACTGACTTCTGCTGGTTACTGGTCGATAAAAGAAGGAATTCAAAGCTTTGAAATAGAAGCTCAAAAGAAGATCTCACAGAGAAAAAAGAAATGATTCCTTGCCAAAATGGTATCTTCCTCATAGTTTATTTTGTAGAATTAACAGAGAAACACAGATTTCAAGTGCTTGTGAACTATTATTCGTCAAGAATACCTGTAGGCTCTGATAAATACACAAGACCATGATCAGTTTTCTGCCAAAGAAAGTATTATTCTTCCATAAGTGTACAGTGTCTAAACAATTACATTCTCGAGAAGAATTCAGCTAAGCAATGGTATTTACTCATTAAATATTGAACTTCTACAGATAAACAACGATATATGTGAGAGAAAGCGACATCTTATTTTTATAAAAACAAACTGATGACATACTTGAATTGTTTATCTATCTATCTATCTATCTATCTATCTATCTATCTATCTATCTGCTCTGTCTCTGTCTCTGTGTCTCTGTCTGTCTGTCTATATGTCTCTCTCCCTCGCTCTCTATCTATCTATCTATCTATCTATCTATCTATCTATCTATCTATCTATCTATCTATCTCTCTCTCTCTCTATATATATATATATATATATATATATATATATATATAATTCTTAAAATGTATGTGTATGTATGTGTGTGTGTGATCGGATGTTGTTTATGAATTTCCACAGTTTTCATCCGATTTCGATGAATTTTTTTTGTTTGATAGATAATTCTTCAGTGCTGGTTGTGAGTCCAATTTGTTGGCGACAATGGCTCTCCACTACTTCCAGTTCATTATAATTCTCAGCAACATTTTACTATTTACTATCTGTTCTTGGATATATATCTTTCATAAAAAAAAAAAAAAACTTTAATAAAGATAATTTAAATTATTACAATAATATTATTTATTTTTATACAGTTCAGGGCCACCTCAACATACAAACTGTTACCCCCCCACACACACACACTATTTGGGCGATGTGCCTCAGTTGCACTGATTTGTTGTTACTAATATTGATTTTGGGGTGGGCTGACGTTAAAGCTGCGTCAATTGAACGGCAACAATTCTCAGTAATGAAAGACACCGTCAAAGACGGGTTATACTACTAATATATATATATATATATATATATATATATATATATATATATATTTTGTCATACATTTTCCCTAATATTGTTTTTTTCATATATATATATATATATATATATATATACATATATATATATATATATATTGACATCCACAGACAGACTGTTTAGCTGTATCACAGCACATCAGTGTGGCTATACATCCGCTTGCCTCAAGTTAAGAACGAAACTTGACTGATTTGGCATCAGTCGGAGATTTTTCCCTAAAGCTATATATATATATATATATATATATATATATACTAACAGCATGGGCCGGCGTTGCCCGTGCTTGATTCATAATCGTACGTCTCATACAGCAATCGCTATCACTTGACTTGAAATATTTTTGCCCTTCCTTGCCTTTAAAGGAGTGCCCTTTTCCGTGCTGATGTTGCTACATGCCTTACTTCTTGCCTATCTCACACTGCGAATTTTTTCTAAGCTCTATACTAAACATTAAATCTGTTACGAAAGAAGAACTAAACAAAGTGAATATAAAACGATCAGCTTTAAAAAAGGATTCGTAACTGGAAAAACCGAATGAAAAAAGAATGCTAACAACAAATACTTTTTCACACCCAATCCCGTTCTGCAGAATCAGAATCAACGTTGAGTTTAAGCAAGCGAATGAGTCAATTGGAGTAAAGTGCCATGCAGATTTAAATTTTTTCCCACTTGTGACGAATGTAGGTATCGATTTTTTTGCATGCTAGCATGCTAGTTAACATTCATGTCAGTCAGATGATGGCTCTCACGCTGGCCAGTGGAATCTTCCTGCCTATTTGTGGCAGCCAGCTATAGGCTCTCACTATGGCTAGTACAAAATAGCCGCAAACTACATGAAAACTGCCGTAGAAGCATGAAAAAATCGATTATTTCCACTATCGACGGGAGTTGGGAAATGCAAAGTCGGTCTTGGCCTTGCCGATAACTTGGTGCATGTGCATGTAAATTTTGGTGCAAATCCGTCGAAAATTGCGGCCGTGCATTCGTTACACACACACACACACACACACACACACACACACACACACACACACACACACACACACACCTTGCCTTTTATAGATAGAGATATGTTAAAAAATGATATAACGCTGACCAGAACATTACCGCAGTTTCTACCGCCGTGGTCTCGTTAGATTGTTTTATCAGCAGTAGTGTTCCGGTCAGTGTTTTATCTTTTTAAGATATTAAATCGCTCTACAGGTATAATTTTCTTACTTGAAAGTGAGCATTATTAACGTGTACCTTTTTTACAAATATATTAGTGTTCCCTTATTTCGGTTTGTGTCTATATTTCATTAGGATTCTTTTTCTTTCCATCACTTTTTTTGTAGATATCCCGCATTGTAATAATAGAAGCTTTGCCAGAAATGTCAAAATTGTGATCAGTCTCGTTACGGTGAGCAACTAACTTATGTAACTTGATGTATTGTTTTGAAAGATGTCCCTTTTTTGTTCATACAATTTTCTATTTAGATTCTTGAGGTTTCTCCTACGTATTTTTGTGATAATTATTACAGGCGATAGAGTAAATTCCTCCTTCTAGTCTTGGCTTTTGGTTTTGCTTAATATTGATAAAGTCTTTTATTATTTTAGATATATAAATAACAATTTTTCTGTTGAGTTTAGATAGATTCTTTTTTTCCAACTGTACATGTGATAGTGTTTGATGGTAGGAAAATATACTCTTTGATTCATTGATTGAGAAATCGGAGAGACGGGTTCAAATTCCAGTCGAATCAATTACATCCACCTACTTGCTAATACCCTTGGGAAAAGTTATGATTCATACCCAGCTATGCGTAAAAAGCAGGACAGACTGGGTTCTATATATAGCCTTGGATGGCAACTGCCTACCGCAGAAAGTAATAGCAACCTACTGTGGAAAAAAAAAAAGAATCTGCCTCGTCAGTCATGTATCGAAAGATACATGATCGCTTAAGCGTGTATCACGAATGGCACATAACTGAACTTGGTTTGTCGGGATGGGCCGTTTTCATATATTAGAGTATTTTTATGAACGTTTTGTTTTGTACCGAATATAAAATAATTAGGATACTGAAGATCTTGAAAGTGTTTGCAATATATTTATCCTCTTCATGTAAATATTGAGGGCTGCATATTCTTATTACTCTTATGTAGAATCCGATTATTATAAGGGATTTTATTTTCGTGTTATGATGAGAATAAGAAGAGAAAAAGAAAAAAGAATTTAAATGAAATCGGCTAGATTAAAAAAATAAAATTTAAAATTTCTAGCGTCCCTGGTTCGTGCGCATGTGTAGTCGCATCAACCTGAGACGTTGTGTCCGATGAAGACCTAAAGTACGAAATATTTTCTACTTTGTGATACATATACATATATGCAAATATTGACTCGTTAGAGCCACACACGCTCTATTTTTCTCTCTCACACACATACGCACATACACATATATAATGTGTGTGTGTGTGTGTGTGTGTGTGTGTGTGTGTGTGTGTGTTTGTGTGTGTGTGTGTGTGTATTATCCGAAGCAAAAGTGAATGTAAACAACAATATACTTGGGGTAAAGCACCATTTTATTTGCATGATGAAAACAAACTGATGAAATACTTAAATTTGATCTATCTATCTATCTATCTATCTATCTATCTATCTATCTATCTATGTTCATATATATATATATATATATATATATATATATATATATATATATATATATATATATATATTCTATGTTCTATCTATCTATATCTATCTATCTATCTATCTATCTATCTATCTATCATCATGGCTCTTATCTATCTATGTTCATATATATGTACCTATGTTATTTCTATCTATCTATGACTTTTGAAAGGTCATTTGTTAAAAATGGCTTGGGGATACTTTAAAGTTGTAACCAAAGTGGCGCATTCAACTGATCTAATTTTTTAACTTACAAGTTCTACATGTAACTTTTACTTTTATTATATTTTTTCACGCGTGTATGGAGCCCATTTTAATACTACTGTTTCTTGGTCTAATTCAACTCTGACTATTAAACATTTATGTATTTTATCTATCTATATTAATTTATTTGTATCTATATCAATTTTTAATCTATCTGTCTATATTCATTTTTTTCTGTCTTTCTTTTTTTCTATCTATCTATCTATCTATCTATCTATCTATCTGTCAATGAATCAACTTCTGTACTGTATTCGTTCAGTGCGTGGATCTCTTAAAAACGTCCTATTCTTTATAGCCCGTAGTAATATTTATCTAATTATTATATTTCTCACACCCGTTGTGCAATCCATTCAATTAAGCTCGTTAGATAAGTGATTGCCTGCTCCCCGGTGTTCCTTTCCCATTTCAATATCTCTTGTGTAAGTGAGAAATTCTCATTATGTTTCCCTGAAATTGCAGCCGCCTCTTTTGAATTTTGAGCATGCGTCATTTATGTTCCCGTTTTCCATTTCGTTACCGCTTTACTTTTTGTTCCAACTTTCCTTTTTGCTCCCGTATTCATTTTTTTTGTTATTCTTTTTTTTCCCGTTTTCATTTTTGCTACCGTTTTCCTTATTGTCCCGGCTTACATTTAAAATCCAGTTTTCCTTTTTGCTCTCGATTACCTTTTTGCGCCTGTTTTTCTTATTATTCCCGCTTTCCTATTTGTTCCCGCTTTATTTTTAGCTCACGATTTCCTATTTGCTCCGTTTTCCTTTTTCTTCCCGTTTTCCTTATTCTTCCCGTTTTCCTATTTGCTCCGTTTTCCTTTTTCTTCCCGTTTTCCTTATTATTCCCGCTTTCCTGTTTGTTACCGCTTTCGTTTTAGCTCCCGTTTTCCTATTTGCACCCGTTTTCATTTTTCTTCCGGTTTTCCTTATTATTTCCGTTTTCCTTTTTGCTCCCGTTTTTCATTTTGCTCCCGTTTTCCTTTTTGCTCCCGTTTTCCATTTTGCTCCCGTTTTCCTTTTTTCCCCGCTTTCCTTTTTGTTACAGTTTCCCTTTTTCTTCCCGTTTTCCTTTTTGTCCCCTTTTTCCTTTTTCCCCGTTTTCCTTTTTGCTCCCGTTTTCCTTTTCGCTCTCGTTATCCTTTTTGTTCCCGCTTTCCTTTTTGTTCCCGTTTTCCTTTTTCTTCCTTTTTACTTATTATTTCCGTTTTCCTTATTCTCCCGTTTTCCCTTTTGCTCCCGTTTTCCTTTTTGCACCCGTTTTCCTTTTTCTTCCCGTTTTACTTATTATTTCCGTTTTCCTTTTTGCTCCCGTTTTCCTTTTCGTCTCCATTTTCCTTTTACTTACCGCTTTCCTTTTTGCGCCTGTTTTACTTATTATTCACGCTCTCCTGTTTGTTACCGCTTTCTTTTTACCTCTCGTTTTCCTATTTGCTCCCGTTTTGCTTATTATTTCCGTTTTGCTTATTATTTCCGTTTTCCTTTTTCTTCCCGTTTTTTTTTTTTTGCTCACGTTTTCGTTTTTTTCCCCGCTTTCGTTTTTGTACCCGTTTTCCTTTTTCTTCCCTTTTTCCTTTTGGCTCCAGTTTTCCTTTTTTTCCAGTTTTCCTTATCATTTCCGTTTGTCTTTTCCCGTTTTTCCTATTTTGTTTTCCTTTTTTCCCTTTTTTTTTTTTTTGCTCCGTTTTCGTTTTTTCCGTTTTTGCCTGTTTTGGCTCCATTATTCTCGTTTTTCCTGTCCCCCTTTCCTTTTACCGCTTTCTTCCTGTTTTTTTTTAGCTCCCGTTTTCCTATTTGTCTTCCCTTTTTTCCTTTTTCCTTTGCGTCTTTTTTTTTTTTTTTCACGTTTTTCTTTTTTTCCTCCGTTTTCTATTTTTTGTGTTGTTTTCCTTTTTTCCTTTTTTTTTTTTTTTTTCCTTTTTGGCTCCAGTTTTCCTCTTTCTTCCTTTTTTTTTCTTTTTTCGCTCCCTTTTTCCGTTTTTTTTTCGCCCCGTTTTCTTTCCTTTTCCTTTCGTTTCCGTTTTTTTTTTCTTCCCGTTTTACTTATTATTTCCGTTTTCCTTTTTGCTCCCGTTTTCCTTTTCGTCTTCATTTTCCTTTTCCTTACCGCTTTCCTTTTGCGCCTGTTTTACTTATTATTCCCGCTTTCCTGCTTGTTACCGCTTTCTTTTTACCTCCCGTTTTCCTATTTGCTTCCGTGTTTTCTTTTTTTCCTGTTTTTTTTTACGTTTTTCCTTTTCTTTTTTTCCTTTTGGCTCCAGTTTTTTTTTTTTTTTTTCCCGTTTTCCGTTTTTTTTTTTTTCCCTGATTTCGTTTTTGCTTTGGGGTTTTCCTTTTCCTTTTTCTTTCCTTTTTCCTTTTGGCTTTTTTGGGTTTTTTTTTTTCCATTTTTTCCTTTATCATTTCCTTTTTTTTCTTTTTTTTTTTTTTCTCTTTTTTTTTTTTGATTCCTTTTTTCCCTTTTTTTCTCCGCTTTCCTTTTTGCGCTTGTTTTCCTTATTATTCCCGCTTTCCTATTTGTTTTCGCGTTCTTTTTAGCTCCGGTTTTCCTATTTGTTCCCGTTTTTCTTTTTCCCGTTTTTTCTCCCTTTTCCTTTTTCTTCCCGTTTTCCCTTTTGCACCCGTTTTCCTTTTTTCCCCCGCTTTCCTTTTTGCTCACGTTTTCCTTTTTTTCTCCGCTTTTCTTTTTCTCCCGTTTTCCTTTTTCTTCCCGTTTTCTTTAATATTTCCGTTTTCCTTTTTGCTCCCTTTTCCTTTTTTCTTCCCGTTTTCCTTTTTGCTCCCGATTTCTTTTTTTCCCCGCTTTCGTTTTTGCTCCTCTTTTCCTTTTCTTTCCTGTTTCTCTTTTTGTTCCCGTTTTCTATATCAGTCTCATAGCATCCGTCTGTAGACGAGTAGTCAAAGTAAATTGCAATAAATCTTTGATATAAGTTTATTCACTCATTTTACTACAAGAATCTGATGAGAAATTTGTCCCGGCTTTCTCACATGAAAGGGCTGTGGTGAAAAATGCGACAAAATAGAAAAACCAACAACTGTTTGAAAGATTAGAGCGAACAATTCTCTCTTTTGAGACGGAAGAATAATGACTCAAACTCCTGCTCGGTGTATAACAATAAAAGAAGGCGATATTCATTTACATGCATACAAAAAGAAGGGTTTAACGATATACACAATTACGAGGAAAAGAATGGGAAAAGAGAATTCTTTTAACTTTAAAGGAAGAAAAATGTTCATAAAAAAGAAAAGGCTTTCCTCAAAATATTTTTCTGGGCGCCTACAAAAATCTTTAAGTGAGTAGTAGATTGTTGTTAAAAGTTGTTGTGGTGTTCTCCCTCTAAAGAGTCTACGTTGGACTCTTCCGCCTCTTCTATGATTAGTAGAAGAGAAGTCCTTGGAGAAACAGTCGAATAGATTGTTCATCTGTCGAACTCAGTGCATCAGCAGAGAGGAACTCGGACGAAGCTTTGCCGAAGGGCAAAGTTTCGTCCGAGGAGGTAGACAGGCCCTGAACCCGTTTAGGTGGGTTCAAAGGGAATATTATTGGCCGAGCCTACAGGCTCGGAGTACCCACAATAAACCGGCCTTGTGCCACATACACCTTCGTGGGTGTGGGAGGGGTTAAATATTAACAATCGAATAGATTGAACGCTGGTCAACCGACAAACACTCTCTAGTCGTGTAATACTCTTCTATTGTACTTACTGTTTAATATATAATATATCTGGAACACTTGTTTTGTTATTTCTTTAACCATTTACTTTGTCACAACAAAGGTTAAAACACTCACGGATTTGTTCAGAGTTCTTGTAGAGGTGGAAACTTTCTGAAGATATGAATTTCGTAGTTGAGTGAGTTCGTAGACCAGAGACAGATATCTTCTAGGTGCGAGGAGGCAGATCTCAATTGGTTTTTAGTAGTGGGACGACGTTATTTCTCGACAGTCCATTGTAGGTAGTTCTTTCTTGAAGATGACTGCTTTTCTGTCGCTGGCCTTACGAACGGTGGTTGAATACTCACTGCCAAACATTATCCCTGTGTATGAGAATAAAGAGGTTCAGGAAATATCGGCGACTTTTTTCTCTAAAATTACTATACAAATTTCCTGACCATTTCATTTGTTAGAAAATATATTCTTATCTCTGAAAAGAATCAAGGTTTTGGAAACTGCCTTTTGGAAGTAAGGGTCCGACACGTTGTGAGCGTTAACCCCAGACTTCATGGCACCATGGTCAGGGTAATGGTTGTCAAATTCCTTTTTATATGTTTCAACTCTTCGAAAACATATTCTTATCTCTGATAAGAATCAAGGCTTTGGGAGCCGGATATAAAAGCAGGAAAAAATAAAGTTTGGGGTTAGAATTGGAAAAAAGGCTAGAACATGATCTTGTAAAATATTGTAGTCGTGGTTCTCAAGTTAAATGATAATAATATTTCTACTGATATTTATTGCATTTCTATTTGACTAAGTGACTGTTAGTATGCATATAATTTAGTATGTTTGATTCACGAGATAAATTTATAGTGTAAGCGAGATAGCAGGGTGAAAACGTCGTTTATTGAAAAAGAAACAAATAAAAACACATTCAAATTTGTCTCAGACACTTACGGCATTTTTGTTTACCATATATACACGTGTATCTGGGTACCTCGGCGTGATGTCTAGCTTGTCTCGCTAGATTATTTACGACTGAAAAGTGAGTTTAATCCTCCCTAGGTGTCCCATGCTTTCGGCCTTGTGCCACATGTAAGCAACGCTTAGAAAATCATTGGGCACCTCGGCGTGGCGTAATGGTTAGCAAGTTTGTTTCGCTAGATCATTTATGACAGAAAAGTGAGTTTAATCCTCATTGGGTGCCCCCATACATTCGGCCTGGTGCCACATAAAAGCTATGCTTTGAAAATCAAAGGAGGAATTCGACGTGGTGTAATGGTTAAGCAAGATTGTCTCGCTAGATTATTTACGACTGAAAAGTGAGTTTAATACTCACCAGGTTCCCCATACTTTCGGCCATGTAAGCTACGCTTGGAAAATTACTAGGGCACCTTGGCATGGCGTAATGGTTAGCAAGCTTGTCTCGCTAGATCAGTTACGACTGAAAAGTGAGTTTAATGATCATTGGGTGCCCCATACTTTCGGCCTTGTGCCACATGTAAGCTACGCTTAGAAAATAACTAGGGTACCTCGGCGTGGCGTAATGGTTAGCAAGCTTGTCTCGCTAGATCTATTGTGACTGAAAAGTGAGTTCGATCTCCACTGGGTGTTCCACGCTTTCGGTCGTATGCCACATCTAAGCTACGCTTTGAAAATCATTGGACACCTCGAGGCGGTTTAATGGTTAGCAAGTTTGTCTTGCTAGAACAATTACGACTGATTAGCGAGTTCTATCCTTACTGGGTGCTTCATACTTTCGTCCTTGTGCCATATCTAATCTACGCTTGGAAAATCGCTATATACTCGAGTATTTATGATCAGATTTTACTTAAACAATAGCATTTTTTGAAGCGGTTAAAAATCATGCATTTTTGGTGACTGCTTGTACTGTACACAGATATTTTTTTTCTTAAACGTATGCCCAAAAATTCAGGGGTCGCTCTTTATATGGTCGGCGTATACACGGCATAATTATTGCACTTGTTTTCGCCGTTTTTTTTTTTTTTACAATTAATATTACGATTATAATATTGATTATAATAAAGATGTTTCACTTAATTTTATTGATTTTCATTTTGAAAAATTATTCTTTAAAAAATATAACTTTTTGGTTCGTTATTAGAAAGAATAATATTTCACTTCTTCGGCACCATTATACACTAAGAGTGACGTGTACGGTTGCCTAGCAACATAGGTGGCACCAGATGGTGACCCAGTTAAAAGAAAACAGGGAAATGTTCTACGAGTGAAGAATTTTATTACGAAAATCAGACTTTTTTCAGAAAGAAAATAGTTTCTTTTATATTTTCCCTTTTATTTCTTGTTTCTTCATTTCTTTTTTTCCCATGAATAAATAATATTTTATTCTAGAAAATTTTCTTTTTCTATTTGCCGTTCTTCCACTGAAGGTTTTCTTTCTCAGATTTATATTTGTATCTCAAATTGTTCATATCTATCTATCTATCTATCTATCTATCTATCTATCTATCTATCTATCTATCTATCTATGTCTATACGTTCATATCTATCTATCTGTACGTTCATATCTAACTATCTTAATACATTCATATCTATCTATCTATCTATCTATCTATCTATCTATCTATCTATCTATCTATCTCTTAATACATTATCTATCTATCTATCTATCTATCTATCTATCTATCTATCTATGTCAATATGTTCATATCTATCTGTCTATCTGTACGTTCATATCTAACTATCTTACTACATTCATATCTATCTATCTATCTATCTATCTATCTATCTATCTATCTATCTATCTATCTATATACATATATATCTGTCTTTATAGATTCATATCTATCTATCTATCTATCTATCTATCTATCTATCTATCTATCTATCTCAATACCTGCATATCTATCTCAAGACATTCATATCTCTCTATCTTAATACGTTCATACCTATCTATCTGTCTAATTCAATACTTTCATATCTATCTATGCATCCTTACCTTCGTACATATATATATATATATATATATATATATATATATATATGTGTGTGTGTGTGTGTGTGTGTGTGTGTGTGTGTGTGTGTCAGTGCATTTCTGTGTGTTTAACGCTTTTCCTCTCCCCCACTTGTTTCCATTTCTCATGTTATTCGTCTTGTAGGTAAACATTCGCATGTTCATTTCCCCCTTTTTTTGACACTTTATCTTCATTTATTCCCCATCTTGTTATCTATTTATAATCTACGTACACAGCTTGAGATTTCCGCCCTTTCCTCTCATTCGTATATCCACAGTTGGCCTTACTTGTCTTCACTTTCCTCATATACATATGGCCTAATGCTTTCCTCACTCCATCTCCCTGTTCTCCTTTCTAAAATCCTGATTGTAATCTACAGCCTACCCACGTCTCTCGTGGCATTAACTCCCTCTTCTATTTCTCTCGTATTCTTTCTGGTTTCCCACTTTCTCCGCATAGGCATTTTCTAAACATAGCTCCGTCTGACACTAAGTCATATTGTGGGGCTCTAAATTAAGACGGAATTGACGACACAAATAAATTGGTCTAATTTACAATCTTGCTACTGCATTTTCCGCAGAACCTAACCTTGGCACAAGGTTATAGCTCTGGAGTATCCAGTGAGAACTGAAATTACAAATCCAGTAAATTGGCTTCCCAGACGTGCTTGGCGTACCATTATTCTATATGTGCTTCCAAATATATTTGCTAAACGTAACCCAGATATGAAAGCAAATTTCTATACGTAGTAGGAAGTCGGAGATACATCATGCACTTTCTTCTGTATAAACCCTTAAGTTATACGTCTTTCGCTCTCTGTTTTTTACAAATATAAACACATGACCTGATTTTCTTTTCTCTCTTTGACAAATACAGATTTTGGCTGGGAGTCGGTAGATAGTGGTACGCCAATCTTCCAATTAAGAACAGCTTTCTGTAAAGTAACATTCATTAATACCAGCCTTCTTTCTTTCTTTCTTTCTTTCTTTCTTTCTTTCTTTCTTTCTTTCTTTCTTTCTTTCTTTCTTTTCTCTGTTTTTATTCTCCGCTATTTATCATCCAATCGCCTGCCTTCTTCTTATTTATTTATTTTTAATATTTTAGATTTCCCAAGCTTTTGCTTTTAAATATTACTAGCTGAATTACATGCGCATTACTGCGTGTAACACCTTTTTTTTAAAATTTTTTTTTATAGAAAACGATGATCGATTTTAAATCATTGTTATAATGTGTGTAGAAACATAATGCATTTCAATATTACTCAATGATCTTATCGATGTGACCTTCATTTTCTGTCTTTCTCTTGTTCCAATTTAAATTTAATTTAAATAAAAGGAAAAAAAAAGATTGCCAGTAGGGGTGGTGCAAAAACAGCTTGATCTGTCCAGTTTTATATGTATTTGATGCAATATTTAATTGAATGAATTGATGAGATTTCTACATTGATGCAATATTTAATTGAATGAATTGATGATATTTCTACATTGATGCAATATTTAATTGAATGAATTGATGAGATTTCTACATTGATGCAATATTTAATTGAATGAATTGATGAGATTTCTACATTGATGCAATATTTAATTGAATGAATTGATGAGATTTCTACATTGATGCAATATTTAATTGAATGAATTGATGAGATTTCTACATTGATATGGCAGCTGAGTTGTCGCAACAAATACATATTGTAAAAAACTGCCCATTGGTGATTTCTTGCTCAACTTGAAGTCAATATTCCCCCAATTTGATCTTGCCGATGTGACCTCCATCTTCTGGCTTTCTCCTTCTATGTTTTGGATAGGAGTCATACTTTTGTTCAAATTTAAATTTAATTTAAATCAGAGGAAAAAAATCAGTAGGGGATCTGTGCCCACCCCGGGTACCTCTTTGATCAAAAATTAAATATATTTATTCAACTACCCTTGGAGTCATTTCCTTGTTCAAATTCAAATTTAATTTAAATTAAAGGAAAAATAATTTTCAGTGTGGGGACAGATACCCTCTTTGATCAAAATGATCTTGCCGAGGTGACCTGCATCTTCTGCCTTTCTAATATTTTGGATAGGAGTCATTCCCTTGTTTAAATCAATTGATCAAAATGAAATATATCTATGAAAGTACCCTACGAGTCATTCCTTTGTTCAAATTTAAATCGAATTTATATCAAAGGGGGAAAAATCAGTGTAGGCAGCACCCCCTCCACCCAACACACACACACACACACAGTTGATAAAAATGAAATATACTTATCCATGTACACTGGGTAATGCAGTTTTAGAATATGTGTTTACGGGGTTACATCCCCAATACTTAATGATATAAAATGGCAAAATCACTTCGCCAACAAAATTACAAAGGTGCATTAACCTGCCAATCACTCGATAATGCATCTTTAAAATTTTGTTAGCGAAGGGATTTCGCCATTTTATATCACTAACTTTACTAATTTACTTTTTTATATGAATTATTCATTGTAATATAAATTGAACTGCACCACATATTTATATATATATATATATATATATATATATATATATATATATATATATATATTAAATATTTTATACGATACCTCTAAGCGTGACTTAAAGTTTCGAGAATTTTAGAAATATATGCGGTTGCAATTTCCGTTTATAGATCAGCGACTGTAAAAACGGCGTCTGTGAAACAGTGATTGCTAAATGTCGTTAACTCTTTGATTCAAGTTTTACTCGACAGTTTTCGTTGAATTCAGTGAACCCATCGCTATTGCTTCGTGGTCATGTATCGGGACCCTCAATGTGGGCGTTAGTCCTAGTAGTTACTACGTACCCTTTCTGACTTAGATACGTGTTCGAATCTCAACATGATGGATTTGTCAGGGAGATGATCTCTCGATGTTGTTGGCTTGAGGAGGGGGTTCCAACGTTCAGTATTGTTAGAAGGTGACTGAAAAAAAATATTTCCAGTTGGCCAAAACTTTCTGTGGGTAATTGGGTAGACTGGATTTTTCTGTAATCATAAGTAATCGTGGCCGAGGGTTTTAGCGTATGGTCTTTGTTCAAACTGTTGATCCCGCCAGATGATACTTTCTATTCTGGAAATTTTAACTAATATATCATTCAACATAGTTGACCTCAAGAAGAAAATGATGGCCACTACTGAAGAGTTTATGATGGATATGACACAAATGTGTAATGGCCACCACGTGCGGGATTCAATTGTGGCGGCACTACGATTTATATTAACTATATTTCCAACGTACAGGATTCAAGTAAACAACAATAACTCCAAGTTGTTAATCAACAAATATATATTGAAATAACGTACAAGAATAAACATGCAATAAAATTGTTTTCAATTTATAGACTATGGGAAATAAGTTGTTTCCCTTTAACTGTAGATTGATTTGTGATTCATTGTTCGAAGAAGGTTATCTTGAGAGAAAAATGTTCAGAAATCAATATTAGAGCAAGTATGCATGTTAAGAATTAATTAAAAAAAAGAATACAATTAATTAAAAATGTGTTGTGTTATAGAATGGTTTGAATCAACAGAGTTCTTGTTGATTGAACGTTGCAAAGTCACAGAGAGAAATGTAAGTTTATATTACGAAATTGTGTGTCTGTGTCTGCGTTTGAAATGTGATGAGTAAGATCGTGGATTTGTGCTGACGGATGGAATCTCACGGGATCTTACTGACGACTTGCGAAAAATCGCCCCTTTTAAGAAAAAAGGGTAGGCTCCCACGGCAACGCGGAAAAAACTTAATCTTGCATTAAAATATGTGATTGGTTAAAAATTAACCAATCCCTACACTCATACTAACAGAACAGGCAAGCAAATTCAAAAGCGAAGGATTCAAAGAAACGACTGCGATGGCTAAATTGTCCTATATAAAGGTAGTAGTGATTTATTAGCCAATCGCAGGCGAATAAAAAGTGGGCGTGGAAAAACATAGCAACCGCGACAAAGGTATTTCGATTGCACAGGTGAGAACCCAGGCTATACATTTTGATTCACATTAATTTGCTTAACAGAATTTTTATTCTATTGAGCAAATTAATCCGCTAGGAATCATTTGACTTTCCAAGAGAGATGACCTTTCTCCAAGTTTCCTTGCAAAATAAAAGAGGCTGCAGGCATTTAATGTGCTGACAATGTATATTTCTTTTTTTTTATCATTTCAACCTACGCAAGAAAATAAAGACACCTGTACGCAAGAGGTTACTTGCTGTTACAGAATATAAGAAAGAATAATATTAAGGAAAGGTTACAATAAAAGAATAAGAATTAAAAAGACAGAATATAGCGGTTGACGTTGCATTTGAATCTTTGAACATCAAAAAGCAAGATGTCAGAAGAGATTTCCACAAGCAAGAAGTGCGATAGAAGAAACTGTTAGCATAGAAGTTACTGTTGCATCTAAACATTTCAACTGTAAAATGATGAGACATTTTACTGCGCTTAAATTCATAAAATGTAACTACCATAGCGGAAAGTTCATGAGAAAAAATACCTTGAAAATATTTATACAAAAGTCACAGAGAAGCTACGTTAAGACGGTGGGAAAAGCGACTGAAGCCCAAATGTCAGTTCAGGACCAATAACACAGCAGATTCTTCTTTGGATTTTATCAAGAATTTCTAAATATATAGCAGAGGCACCAGACAAGACATTCCAGCAATATTCAAAGCAAGGACGAATGGTAGACTTATAAACTTTCAACACTTTATGTCAGTTGAAAACATTAGATCAAGAAGGTTAACATCAGCCGCGCATCGAATGTTCTCTCACATGATCAAAAGAGAGCAATTACATGTTTTAGGCGTTAAAACCACCAAGCCGCATTTTTATCGTTTAACAACAGACTGTAGGGTACTTTGAGCTGCTATTAAGATAAGAGTAAATATAATTACTATGATCTTTATTAATTTTAGTGGGCACGTTTGTTTTAAGTTTCTCTCATTTTTTTATATTCAAAATGATTGATATCAACCGGCCTAGATCTAGAAATTCTGCGAAAGAATATGTATGCCTAACTATTGGAATCAAAGATGTATACTTTTTTATGTATATGCTCTCCCGTAGCCAAATTGGTAGCGGCTATACGAGATGTTTCACTGCAGGAAAGAGAGATACGAGTTCGATTCCTGTCGGAACGCACAATGTTTCTTTAGTAAGTTTTCTCGATTTAGGACCGTTGTTAGTCATTTTTCTGTTTAAGAAAATAGAAAATAGATGGCATCAAAAAATTTTAAATGAAAATCATTGCAACATATAGATAATTTTAGGCCTCACCATATAAATATCATTTTTAAGATGTTATTACGTTCTATTTATAAATACAAATATTTAAGTAAATGCTCTGTTTATTACAAACAGTATTAACGAAATTTAACCGGTCAGAATGTGCGAGAAATTTTCATAGAAAATATGCGTCCTCCGACAGGAATCGAACCTGTATCCTATCCCCCAACCGTCATATAGCCTGACATGCTTTTACTGATTGAGCCACATAGGGGCGTTTCGTTTAGCAAAAAATAAATAAAAAATAATTGTCGGAGCTTGTCCATTTTTTTTATATATATATATATATATATATATATATATATATATATATATATATATATATATATATATATATATATATATATATATATATATATATATATATATATATATAAAGAAACATTTTATTAAGATTTATTTCTATTTAAATCTTTTGTATAAATTATTTCTTTACGACATAAAATATATATATGCATATATATATATATATATATATATATATATATATATATATATATATATAAGAATTAGCTAGCACAGAATAATCACAAAATGAATATCTTAGCATTCCACACTAATTCAAATATGAAGTTATGAAAGCAAACCCCATCTCTACTGCCAAGATCGTATACAACTACTGAACTTGAGAAACGTGTTTTCCTGAAAAATTGCTTTTAGAGAAGAATTTTATAAGTTTGAACCGAATGCAGTACTGACTGTTTGGTATTTCCTTGTCCTGGGTGGGGGCTAATATTACGATTACCATTACCCTTTTTCAATTATAAAATAATGAGACCTTGGCGCCAATCGATTACTTCGCTT